TTTTTGTTCAGTGATGTGTGGTTGCTGGTGAGTATTTGCTTTAGGTTGGGGGGTTGTCTGTAAGCGAGGACAGGTCAACCGGACATCCGAAGAAGTGGGCTGTAGTCCACGAAAGCTTATGCTCTAATAAATTTGTTAGTCTCTAAGGTGCCACAAGTACTCCTGTTCTTTTTTCTTGAGACTAGACTGTCTCAACACACTCTGCTTAGAGCCTTAAAACCACTTGGAAATTTAAGGTGGTGCAGAATTTAGCAGCCCTCTTGGCGAGCTTTTGTTTTGTTTTGTTTGGGGGATGGGGAACACATTAAAACTCCTGCTCTACAATCTGTGCTAGCTGCCTATCAGCTTCCTGCTTGATTAAGGTGTTGGTTTTGACTTATAAAGACCTAAATGGCCTGTGACCTGCCTAAGAAACTGGCTCTCTGCTGTATTGCTGTAATGTGGTCAGTGGGGGCACCTGAGCTGGAGTCTCTTGAGCATAAATCAGGGGACTGTCTGCAGTGTTTTGTTAGCCGCAAGCCTTGAGAATTCTCTTTTCCCCCCACATCCTGGTCTCTAACAGCCCAAGTCTGTTAGTCGTTGATTAGGGCATGCTGTAGGGTGCATCTGTTCTCTCTAGCCTGTGGGGGGGGGGCGGGGTCAGGCTGACTACTAGGGGGATTCTGCTGAGTGGGGTAAATGAACAGTTTTGTTGGTGTTCAGATCAGGTGATAGACTCTAGACTAGAGTTTCTGTTGAAGTATTTTTAAAAACAGATTGAGAAGGGCTGCCCAGAGCTTCAGATGGGTGTTCTTTGTAAAAGCATTTACTGATATTTCTACTAAGGGATCTAAAGGTGATCCTGGGAATCACACTGATAAGTTTCAGATCTTACACTCACCATCCCCCTGCTAATCTATCTCATAGAACTGGAAGGGACCCTGAAAGGTCATCAAATCCAGCCCCCTGCCTTCACTAGCAGGGCCAAGTACTGATTTTGCCCAGATCCCTAAGTGGCCCCCTCAAGGATTGAACTCACAACCCTGGGTTTAAGCAGGCCAATGCCATTTCAATCATTTTCCTATTTGTAAATATTTTTCTTGTCACTAAGGCCCCTAGGGCATCTGCAGGATAAAGTTGTACTTGTTTAAAAGTGGATTTAAATTACACATGCTCCTCTTCCTCCCAACACACTAGTTTTCACCAGAGCCATCCTCCCCTCCAGGCTGCCCCTCCACTCAAACTCTGATACCTTCCCTGGGGTGGCTGCTTCTGCCTCCCTACCTCTCCTACATGTCCTCTCACTGGGGATGGCACAAGTCTCACACCCACCCGCGGTCCTCACTACTGATCTAAGGAACCCCTGTCCCACACTTGCTACAGCCCCTTTACCACCATCCCTATGGACCCAGCATCCTCCAGGTCCCTCCTCCCCACAATTGCTGTAGTGCCCTCCCCACAACACTGCCCCAGCCCCCTTTGCTCCAATCCTCCCACTTTGGCTACAGTCACCTCAGCACAAGCCTGCTCCCTATGGTCCCCACCACAAGCTCCCCTGC